AACGAAAGAAAAAAAAAAAAAAAAAAAAAGAAAAAAGACAGTGTACTATATACACGTCCTACTGAATTAAATTTAATTAGATGATTTTTACGGAAAAACGTTAAAAGAATACGTTGAAATTTCAGAGTGCCGCACTACGAGCAGAGACTACGATCTCTTCATTACAAAAAGAAATTCGCTGCCAGCATTGCGGAATTAACACCGAGAATGCGCGCGGTGCTCGAAGCTAGTCGACAGGTGGCCAGGTCTCGGCGACTCAGAAAACTTCTGGAATTGGTCTTAGCTTTAGGGAATTATGTAAATCGCGGGAACGCTCGTGGGAATGCCTGCGGCTTCCGCTTGGCTTCCTTGAATCGTCTAGTCGATACCAAATCGTCTTGCTCAAAAGGCACGACATTACTGCACTATTTGGTTCAAATTCTCGAGTCTAGGTTTAGGGAGGTATTAGATATCGAGGAGGACATGCCTCATGTTCGGACCGCAGCTAGAGTTAGCATGGCCGATCTACAGAGAGAGGTGGCTAATTTGAAAAACGGTCTTCAGGACGTCCAGAGGGAGATAGGTATGCTTTACAATTATTTTCATTAACATGGTTAACACTATGGTGATTCATAGTAAATTTCAATATTTCTTCGAATGTACGTTTGAAAATGTACTGGGTAATCTATTTAAATTAACCTACATAGATATCTCAGAAACTATTGCTGATACGAAGAAATGTGTCGAACAAAAGTTAAATGGTTTCGATGCTTATTATCTGATGTAAGTTTTTTTTTATGAGAATGCGTGGAGGACATATGAAAATCAATTTTGCTTTTTTAAATCTAATCATATTTTTAATACATTAATTAATGCTATTTAACTATCTAAAAATAAAAAGTGTTAATCTACGTCGAGGAGGAATTAATCTAGCAGACATTTTAATTCCAATTTTTTAAAATCTATCGTATAAAATACAAGGATAATATGAAAATGAAAACGACTCGTATTCTTCCTTGTCTTTTATACGGTAAATTTTATAAAATTAAAGTTAAAATATCTCTTGAATCAATGGTTTTTCGATATACATGGATTAATATTTTTTTTTTTTACAGAGAATATCAAGCAGCATCAAAAAATATGTGATTCCTTTCAGAGAAATGAAATTGATCCTCATAATATCGCGTCCTCATAGGAAAAATTTATTCACGTGACATAATGTGCATCATCTGAAACCATTCAATAATTATCTAACACATTCTTTCATCTCATTAAAGTTTTTAAAATATTATCAAGTAGATCGATTTAAATTTATTAGTTTATATATCTTTTTTCTAAAGATAAAAATTATTAATTATTATTGTCGCTGTTAGTAAATATGAACCCGCCATTTACCAAATAGACGTTAATATATTCTACGATGTTAACATATTACTTTGACTTTTATCGGCTTTTTCTCAGAATTCCACCGTGGCCAATCTCAGGTACTTCAAGGGGACATGTTTTTACCAGCAATGAGAGACTTTCAAGCACAGGCTACATGCAGATTAGCGGAAGCGGAGGATTTGTTCCAAGATATGAAGACTAGAGTAAGTTTCGAGATAAGCTGTCATTGTCAGCCTTTGTTTCATTTACTGAAATTTCTCTGAATAGTTCGATCGGGCAGTAAGGCTCTTTGGTGAAGATTCAGCAGGCGTTCAGCCAGATGAATTCTTCGGCATTTTCGAAAACTTCCTACAAGCATTAGCCGAAGCCAGACAAGACGTAGAAAATATGAGAAAGAAGATAGAAGAGGAAGAACGGAGGGCAAAGCAGGAGCAAGAGGTACGTAAAGTTACGTTTGTCTTTTCTGTGCTATATTTTCAGTTCTACTTTCTGAAACAATTTATTTATTTTAGCTTCGGAAGAGAACGATGGAAAGGAAGAACTCTCGCGAAGGAATATTGAACAGTATCTCGTTGAGCAAAAAGAACGAGGCGAATAGCAATGGACAAAATGACAATAAGGGTGAATTCGATGACTTGATATCAGCCCTTCGAACCGGGGACGTGTTCGGAGAGGACATCGCGAAATTTAAAAGATCAAAACGCAGGCCTGTGACGCCGAGCGGCCAAGAATCGCGTAGACACAGCGCGCACAGAGAAGATTCCAGAGAAAGACATTGAAATCTTTTCTGGACTAACAACTAGTGACTTTAACGTCGCGCAAACGATTTTACGATTTAAACAATATGTGATAGAAAGGAAATACGAATGTTGCGTTGAAGAAAATCAATTCCCCTCACGGGGACGGAGGAGAGAATCGAAATAACCGATACGTTAAGTAGGGAACGTGTAAATAAAGTAAAAATGTGAAGACTGCGAAGCTTTCGCTTTTCGTCAATTTTATATAAAAGTCATCGATTAAGTAGTATTATTTTCATACGCGATTTCTATTTGATTCATTATCTCAAAAAGTTGTCTTCCTCATAAATTCGTACGTAAATACGTATAATCGTAATTCATTTGGTGCATTATGTTTCGTGAAAGTTATTCGATTTTAAATCGACAAATTTACGTGCACTACGTTTCCTCTCAATAGAATTTCACTGTTTTGTTGTTGCAATTATCTTCACACGTTGTCCGACACTATGTTCATAAGAAACATAGGAAAGAAATATTCAAACATACAAAATGCAACGCAATTTTATTGTCGAACCAGAAATGATGTTTTAACACACCTACTAAATTTTTCAATGTCTTTTTTCACGTGATTTGAAGTTGAATAGAATTTTGTTTTCACGTCGTCAATTAAAATCGTGTGACATTGTGTAAAAATTTAAAAATCGAAAAACTGAGCGAAAACAAGTTTGTACATTGTTAAAAGAGTTTGAGTTGCGAGTCAGGCAAGGGTTTCGAGCGGTAACTTTCTGTATATAGTCATTACAAGTTTGTTTGCAGTCCATGCTGACGGCAGTAATTCGCAAAGAAACTTCAACAAAGAAACATCGCAGCGATCGGACCAAGGAAAGATAACAAACAATATGAAAAGGCAACGCGATATCCTAAATACGATAGACTTGTTACAATTTTAGAAAGACTTCGATTTTCATACATCGACGAAACTTCTTACCAAAAAATTCAGATCCTTTTTAAGAGAGCAACGCGCTCTTTTTATATGTATACTGAGAAACATGCAATACCAATAGGGGCTTTTGGGGTGTATTTCTATTTCAACCCCGCGGAACTAACAAGTCTGATTTTGTATTTTAGAAAAGGACCTAAGCATTGATTAGATTATTTAGGAATTTGTTAAAAATTGATCGTTGATGAAATTCGTGCTAGTTTTCGATGTGTAGACCAGAGAAAGCGATACGATTAGACAAGAGTTCGTTGTATAGTAGTCGATGTTTTGTAAGCTTTTGTATTTTTGTAAATATTCAGTATCGATGTCTCGTTCTTGTTGACGGCGACAGCCTTACAAGAATTAACGTTCAGTTAATATATTACAGCGTCCTTAATGTCACATGTATTAATATATAAAAAATATACCGAATAAACGTGAAATTCAAATTATCAGTGGCGTTTTTTAAATTTCAATTTTCCTTCCTCGTTTACTTAAAAGATTGTTAAAGAACAACAGTAAAGTCATTTGAAACAATTTTTCGATCCTCGCGGATAAAATATCTTATTTCCTGTACAATGTTTTGTAATTTAAGCAATACCGATCCTCGATAAATTATCGATGGACTACGGATATTACCAATGGCGCCTTCTATGCTCAAACAGCGATGAATTTAAGAACTACATCACTGACGAGGTACAGTAGACTCTCGTAAAACGTGGTAATACAGTAAACTACCACATAACGCGGTATACACGATATATCAATTCGCATTTTAGGAAATCGTGTTCTACGGGAATTTTCCTCGCAGAACGCGTATAATCTAAAGGAACGTGTTTGAAATAATTATTGTTATGCCAACTTTTATTTTCTATGTTTAATTAAATAGACAGTATTTTAAAAATATGTGGCATATATACGCAGTTGGTTAAAAAAAACATTAACAAATGTAAGAGATCTTTTGTTTTATTAAAACATTAAAAAACTGTAAATACTTTTGTAATTTCGACTATAAAAGCAGATTTAATTCACAAATGCAGGTAATTCCTGTTTTACGATTTGGCACGTCATACGAAGAAACGCGTTATATAAACAGAAATCGCAATATTTTTGAAGCGTTATAGGAATATAACTAACTGTAAAAACGCTGTAAAAACTAACGTTATACGGGAGTTTACTATAGGTGAATACCTCGTCTGTGACTTCGTCTATTCAAGTAAAACGAATAAGTTGATCAACTGCAGATCGATGAAAAATCATTTTGTTGTAAAAATTTTTTCCACTTAGTCACATGTTTTGATTTATATTTCACTTTTTTAAATCTTTAATTTACATATTTTTGCATACTTTCTGTAACTAATACTTTCTGCAAATTAATATACTGGAGCAAAGATATATACTGGATTAGTATTACAATATGAACTCAAGCGCAGTGCTAAGAGGTGCTGAAAAAGAAAACTTGATATAGTAAGAAGAAGGACTACTGACAAAGAAAATCTAAAACAATAGCCAGAAGAAAATCGCGATACAGTAGCTAGAAGAGCTACTAAAAAAACATTTACTACTAAATACAATAACCAGAAGGATTATTGCCAAATCTACATTCGCGTATCTTGTTTCGCAATACTAATTCACTAGCATTAATTACGAAATAGAAAATTATCAAAATCAAACGCGAAGAGTGCTTCGTAATATTTAAAACTCCCGAAAGTAGGTACGCAACGCTATT